GTAACCAGTTAGCGACAATTTTCGAATCGCTATCGCACTTTTGACGCAAAAACATTTATATCATGCGTCAAAAAGTGTGATAGCGATCCGAAAATTGTTGAAACTGGTTACAGAATCTCCCACCTGAAGTACAAAATATCGCTAAGAAGTACATTTACCTCTACTTCGAAGTACGAAGTTCAAGAGCGCAAAAAGAAGTACTGTACTTCCGAAAGAAGTACGGTTGGTCACATTAGGTATGAGTAGTTCTTGGTAGATTTCGTACCAGTATTTAAAGTAGTTTCATGTCCACTAACAACAGAGTGCAAAATCTTTTTATATTCTGAAAAACATAGCATCAAATGTTAACTCTTCTTCCAAAAGTCGCTATCATACTTATTTATAAACTTTCAAAAGTATCCATCTTATGATGAACTTAGAAAACTGTTTTAGGTCATATAGACTGTTAATGTTATCTTATGCCATGTTATGTGTGTTATAATTTTACAAGTCTTTATTTATCCAAGTTTTTAGGTAATTATAAAAAAAGATTCAATTTAAATGTTACTTGTTGTCGTAGTCGTTTTTTCTAATTTATGGTTTTCTATTATAAAATCACATAACGCTGTTTGCAAGTGGACTACTCATTTCCTGATACAAAAAATTATTCCACAGGTCACATAGTTTGATCATTCAAAACTGGTTTATTTATCCATCGATTTTCATCGTCAGTCACTTGATTTTTTGACAAAAAAACAGGCTTTAATACAAAAGCCCCGTATGCAGTTCGCAAGAAAAATCGCAATAAATATTTTTCATTACCTCGGTTGCTAGGAATAGTACTTCGTGATTGCTATAAATTTTCTTAAAGAAATAGATATTCCAGAAATTTTTTCTTAAGAACTGCATACTGATTTAAGAGATTTTGATAGAAGAAAATTTATGTTGCATTTCTTGTGCATCATTTTATAAGAATATTTAGTTTTTCTTGAGTGCTGCAACCTTGATGTTTTCATAAATATTAAAATATTTTGAGAAAATTACCTAAGCTGGAAAACCGGTATACAGATACATAATCTGCGATCCTTAATCAAGTTTACTGTTTCGGCATTTTTTGTGTCCTTTCAAAACTTGCAATTATTCCCAAAAGTGCAATTATACACACGTTGCGAAATTGTTGCATTTGGGATCCATCTGCAGTCGATGAGCCAAAGGACAAGCTGGATAAAGGCCATTGATTCGGCCTGTGGTGGAATTCTGATAAGACTTTAAAAGCTTTTGTGGAAAAGGAAATCAAAGCCTGCTGGACGAGCTTGGAATCTGAATATCCTAAATACAGTGCCACTTTGCGCGACAGCGAAAAGTATATGAAGTAGATTACCAATATATTGTGCGTATGTTTTTAGATAATTCATATACATATGTATGTATGTATATGTTCGTGCATTTTATATTATTTTTCCTAAGTTTAAAGCAGTTCTAGTTCAACTTCTTTCTATGTTAATTAATAATAATTAATAAACGTCATGTAAAATTTTTTTAGTAAATGAAGCGTTTTTCCACAATATTCATTTGTACATATGTGCATACATATATATATATATATGCTAAATTTTCTTTAGGGAATCTTATCGGGCCACAAAAATTTCCACTCGTAAATTTTAAAGAGATTACTTGGCCAACGCTCACCAAACCATGTCCTGGCACATGTGTTGCGCTGTCCTAAATTCAATTATTGATCGAAAACTTTGGCAGGTGCAATCAAATTTATTTGCCAACAGCAGATGCCAACAAATAGTCGCTTCGAATTCAACTGAACACAGGCACATGCATAGCTCTGTAATTCTGTAATTTATGTAAGTATGTGTGTATTTTATGTACACAATCTATGCATTAAGGCATTGTCAACTCACTTGGCAGTGTCCCATCAAAAGCATGACGCAAGCTAAGTTACAATACATAATAGAAAAAAGTGTATTATAAAAAGTCCTCTATTTAATTTAATACTCTCCCTCAGGCAAAGTGGGTAAATAAGTATGTAAATATATGAGCAAGTATGAAAGTAAAACTTTTTATATTTAACTTTGCTAAACGCACTTCCACTCGTTTTTTTTTTTGCTTCTACAATGCTACTAGCACTTTTATTCAATCAACTTGCCGGCAAAATGTGTACGCAGAAAGTGCAAAACTATTAAAGGAAAACAAAGCCATTCGCAAGCCGGGCATTAAAATGCTGCAGAAAGGTGACATTGAATGACGGCTAAAGTAGAACAGCAGCCGGTTTCTGCTGCCCCAAAGCACATACATTTATCCTTGCAATATCTGGAGGGCTTTACATTGCATCTAACACAAAGTTACTTATAGTGCGCTTACATATGTACACATGCACATAAATTTGTATAAGAAAAAACTTTTTTCTTAGCAACAAATGTGTAAGCGCTTTGCGCTTGAGCACATATGTACATAAACTAACTATTGCGGCTGAATAGGGGTGTTAAATGCTTAGAGGACGGTTGCTGGCACTTTATAATTTCTTAAATCGCTAACCTACTTATTTATATTCAACAGCTTACTGGCCTTTAAAATTGTTTTGTGGAAAAGATTACTCAGTGCTACAAAAAAAAAAAAAATAATAGTAATAATAATCGAATACGCCCGAAGCGAAACTTACAGCGATTTCAAAGTTAAATGCATAGTTTGCAGTCGTAGAAACAAGATTAAATATTGGCTCTAGCAACTTAGGTTTCGCAGATATAACTTTCATTTTCAGAATTGAGCATTTGAAGGCAATAGCATGTTGAAAAAATTAACCAAATTTTTTGTATTACCAAAATGGTTCAAAAGCACTTAGATTACTTTGATTTTTTTAATATAAAATCAAGTTATTTCTATTCTTTTGGAATGTATATGGGAAGTATTGATTGATAGCTTCTAAGTTTGTTTATATGATTAAGTAAAACACCTATATGGGCATACATGACTTTTCATACAAAATTACTTCGTCATAATTTTGTAACACATGCAGGAGCGTTGCCACCTGTTTTGAGATCCAAATTCAACTTGAATTAAGGAAATTTTATTAAAGCAGAAGATACATGAAATATTAAAATATGGGCGTCAACCAAAGGAGAGTTAAGAAATAATTAATTTGAACACATATAATATTAGAGATGGTTGCCACCTAAGCTAAAATCAAATTATTTAATAAGTCTAATAAATTTCTAAAATACGTTTATCATTTGAAGTGGGCTTAAAATGTGTATTTCAGAAATATATGTATTTAGGAGGGACTGGACTTACTCCATCAGGTAATTGAAGTAAGTATCACAATTTTGGACGTAAAATACTTAGTTATTACGAAACTTTAGTTAGGAGGGCAACCCTTGTTGGAAAAGTTGAATTTAGTTAGCCCAAACTAAGGCAATTACAAAATTCATATAGCTGTCAGACGGAAAAGGTTTTGGTTTGAAAATATTTTGCAGAAAGTTGCTCGAAACAGCGATCGAACCCAGGTCCTAAGGTATGGTAGTACCCACCTCTAACTACTCGGTTACAAAAGAGCATTTCAAAAAGACACTCCCAGCTCCAAGTTGACATCGATAATTCGTCCTTAATTGATCTTTTAATTTATAAAGCATTTTAAATCTACTTTATTTTTTATAACTTTGGGGGTAACCTTTCCTTCATAGTGCAGTCATATTGGATTCTCAATATACTAGAACCCCCAAATCATTTTCAGGGGACAAAAGTTACATTAAACTAAAGCTTATGCTTCCCTTGGTTGTTTGGGTGGTTGTAGTACTTCATAAATGGTAGATGCCTAGGATACAGCTAGCGTATTTTGGTAAAGAGTCTTAACTGTGTAAGTCCGTGATTTCTTAGTCGAACCAGCTAAGGACACACTGATCTAGATTATCTGATGAATGTTCCTACGTACTGATAGATCACAGTTAGTTGTTGAACTATGATCAGATTCTTCACTTTTATCCACCTGTCAGAGCTGCTACAAGACTTATTATAGGGAAATCTTATTATTGCCACATGTTTTCCTATGAGCCATTAACCTGCAATCACTATTATTTTCTTTTTACTTCTGTCCTTGGTCTATATAGAGCAGAGTTGTGTTGATATTTTTTAAGCCTACACATATGATCGCCTATTTCTAGCTGAACCAAGGAAATGTAGATCAATTGCGTTGTAGATTATTCCAGAAGGACAACGCCATTTCATCAGTTCTTTCATTGATTTCGATGTTCCTATGTCTGAGAATTCAGACGATCTATAACATACGAACTTAGCACAATTAAATTTAGCGTTGGTAATAATGCCACCCGCCTTTCTGGACGAGTATTTTATTAAACTACTTTTTTATATCCAACCCTAATACCTAAGAGTTTACATGCCTAAAATTTACTTAGAACTTCCACTGGAAGACTCTAGAGAAATGGGACTCTACCTCCTATACTGAAGTACTTTTTGCATTCGGCAGTTTTCACATTGAACGAAACGGAGCGGCGCTTTTTATATGTGGAATCGGCCGTAAATATATCACAAAAGTTACCTTCAATGAAAAGCGGTTATAAGTATTTGTTCGATTTCCTGCAATTGCTGTCTCTAATAATACACTTTCATTTAATTATTTTGATGTTTTGCTCACATCAGCTGCAAGAGATTGGAAGATCAAAAAGCAAGTTTTGAAACAATTTACAATGATTAGCTTTAAGCTCCAAAAAGCTTCTGAAAACTTTTGCTGTATGAACACTTTCATATAGCTACATTAACTGCAAGTATTTGTCCAGTTTAAACATAAAATACCACTTTACACTCTTTAGCCTTCAACTGTCAATTTAAATACATTTTAATGTTGGTACTCATTACTGGAAGTTTTTAATGTATGTATATGCAAGCTCATTATTCTACAAGAATAACCTGTTATTTTATATCTAGGCTTTAGTTGAATAATATTATATACATTAAACTTTGTTGAATTAAATAATGGCAGATTTTGTTTTTATTTTCAGAAATATCCTTTTTCGAACGAAATCGTTTTACGAATAAAAGGAAAATGAACTAAATTTCGTTGGAAATTTAATATAAGTTCAAAACAAATCCATTTAATGTTACAAAAAGCGCCAGCTATAAAGGAATAACCAAAAACAGAAACAGCAGTAACAACTACAACTAGGCATTATAAACCACCAACTATGCATCAAGTGCTTAGCTATGAGACAGCAGTCCGTGCCAACAGCTCCCGCGAATACCGCGAGTACGTCACCAAGCGTACTTGCGTCAGCCTCGTGCTCACAATCGCCTTCCTGACGCTCATACTCGGTATGGATGTATGTAAAATAGGGTGGTCCAAAAATGCATAAGTTTAAGGTGTTAAGTTCTTACCCGCTAGAATTTTTCTAAATGGAAAAAAATAATACCAGTATTTTTTTGTTTAAAAACAACAACATTTAAAACTGCCTCAAAGCCCACGAAATTTTTCACGTTTTTTTTATGGAGAAGAAACACTTTTTCGTACAAACGGGGGTGTTTATAATTCTTTAAAATCAAGGTTTTTTGTAACAATACCCCGTTGTTGACGTAAGCATTTCGTAATGTTTACTAATTTTTGTAGGTCCTCCAAAAACCAAAAAAAATACCATGGAGGACCCATATAGAATTGTTAGTATTAAAATTTTTTTAAATAAATATTTGGGTATTAATGTTTGAAGTCTCCTGAAGAGAAACAGAGTTTTCCGATTGAAAATATTGATTTTCAAGAATTTCTACGAAAAAGTGTTTTTTGCCCATGCAAAATACATGGAAAACTTCATGGGCCTTGAGGCAGCTCTAAAACGCTTTTGTAAAGAAAAAAGTACGGGTATTCTTTTTTCTATTTAGAATACTTTAATACTTTAACCTTTTTTTACCACCCTAATGTACAATGTGTATGTACATATATGCGAGTATAAGAGCATTTATTAAAATCCACTTTCTGCACTATTAAGTAAATGAAATTATATTTAATTTTGCGCTCTTTCATAGGCTATCTGCTGGGGAACTTCGTCTCGGAGCGCAAATATCAAATGCGACTGAATAAAGCAGGTGGCA